TCTAGGATGGAGATCTGCAATGCATAAAAGGTAGATATATATAAGGTAGATATACATAAATGACCATGAACATCTGCGGGCATCCATATATGAAGCAATGCATTATCATATGCAAGATACTTGTGTTCGTTATCACACAGTTCATGGAGATTCAAATATCCATATACAACACCTGCCACTGAGTCATATTACAACAGACAGAAGAGAAAGCAATGCAATTCTGTTTAGGGGAAGAAGTGGTGGGAATGCAAGACTTTTAATGCACCATCTTAGAAACTCTTCTTTGTTTTTGTCACTATTTTCCATAGAGCTGCTTGGAAATCAGTGTTCCGGATGGTGTAGATGAAAGGGTTTAACATGGGGATGAAACTTGTGTGCACAAGAGACAACATTTTATTTAGTTGGATGTCCCCATGAGTTGAAGGCCTCAGGTACATAAACATAAGTACTATATAAAAAATGGTTACAACAGCGAGATGGGAGGCACAGGTGACAAAGGCTTTGGACTGCCTGGTGGCAGAAGGGATCCGAATTATAGTGAATATAATGCGCACATATGAAACCAGGGAAACCCCAAAGGAACCCCACATTATAGTGGCACCGTAAAGGAACCCTATTAGCTCAATCACCCTTGTATCAGCACAAGCCAACTGCAAAACTGGACCAACATCACAAAAGAAGTGGTCAATGACTTTGCGACCACAGTACGGGTAAGACCACACTACTAATGATTGAGGCAGTATTAGTCCAAATGCACCCAACCAAGCCAGCAAAGACAGACTGAGACAGAGCCCACTAGTCATAATGGTCTGATAATGTAAAGGTTTGCAGATGGCTACGTAGCGGTCGAAAGACATGATCGTGAGGGTGATGAACTCCACAGCTCCCATGGTGAAGACCATGAAACCTTGGGCCATGCAGCATACAAAGCAGATGGTGTTCTTTCCAGAGAAGCCATTGACCAGCATCTTTGGAATCTCTGTTGTTGTGATACAAATCTCAG